GGTGGGTGGGGGATGGAAGCCAGTGCAGGGATCGGCAGAGGGGGGTGGAGGATGGAAGCCAGTGCAGGGATCGGCAGAGGGGGGTGGAGGATGGTAGCCAGTACAGGGATCGGCAGAGAGATTAACACTCGGAGATCCTCAGAGACAAGGCGAGCGTCAGGATCTGACCTCCTGGTCACAGTGTCCGGTCCTCGGCCACGTAGGACTTCTCAGGCAGAAACATTATACATGATATCTCTTTACATTGACAATTTACACAAACAGAACATTGAATACAACAGACTTTATTCCGATACTTTGAAACACTTTATCTGACCGCAACCCGGACTCCCAAAAACCTCATCAGAGAACAAGGAAACCAACTGCCTCCCCAAGATGGACAACAAGACGCTCCGAGGGTCCGGGGAACACAAACTTCTTCCAATAACAATCATTCTAGCAAGTGAACCTATTTCTTTCCTCTGCTCCTCATCTCCCTCTAGAGGCCATAAGGCAGTATTACATTCATTACATTATGTTCCCCCCTGAAGAGAAGAATGTTCATGTTTGCTGCTATTCACACAGAATGAATGTTCGCAGAGATGCACGGGGCGAATGTTTCAGTGAATTGTTTATAAATAAACCCCCATGCGGTATTTTTTTATGCTGCATTGTTGCATTTCTTCTCCGGCCAAATGCATGTTCCCTGATGGTGACAGCAGTGGACCATGTCTATTCCATGTTTGACAGCACGGCTCATTGTAGTCTTATGTGACAAGGTGACAACGCAGGAGAAAATTTGGGAGACAGTTGTCACCGGTGAAGTGCCTGAACAAAGACCTTGACGGCGGGACCTTGATGGGGACACGTTGAATGGTCTACGAGCTTTTAGTGATTAGGGTTTACATCTTCTCTAGGTAGGGCCTCCGCCAGGGTCATCAGCAGAGAGGAAGGTGAGACGGTGCACACAGGAGTGGTTGCGCTCACCTTCTGGGCTGGAATAATTTGCGTCACGTGGAATCAGCTCACGTGTAGGGAGGACGTGTTGCGACACGCGGCTCACAGAGGGGCGAAGTCTTCAACGCTTCTGCTGGATTCCTGGGGAAATGTTTGCGTTTCGGATCTTTTACATTCCGTGTGTGTAGAGCAGGGGGTCTCAAACCTCCGGGCTCTCCAGCTGTGGGCGGAACTACAAATCCCATGAGGCATTGCAAGATTCTCACAGCCACAGACATGACTGCTGAAGAGAGATGCATCATGGGATTTGTAGTTTCACCCACAGCTGGAGGTTTGAGGCCCCTGGTGTAGAGAGAGAGCGACCTGTGAGAACAAGAAGGAGCAATCGGTGTGAAGTCGGGGGAGAAGATTCCGAGTGCTGGGAAGCCTCCGGGTCAGGGGGTGAAAGTGCACACGAATGCAGATTACATAGACTGATGGCGGTCTGGTTTGACCTCACGGCTTCCCGTGCCGGCTCTTCTAAAGGGCGAGTTTATGGAATGAGCGGCGCCCCATTGTTTATAACAGTGACTTCCATACATCATATGATCACTGCGGAGACATGGTCGTCACTTTATGAGTGTATTGTCTCGGCGGGGTGACACTCGGTTACCGCTCCGGGTGTCACCCAGTCTCGGGACGCCCCTGCTTTCACCTACTTTTCTCCCCAAAAGGACAGAGTCATGTTTATTCAGGCATCATCCGGAGTAACCATCTACTTCCTGGACTGAGACGCCGGTGTTCTATCAAAACCTCCAACTCCTCGAGATCTCCAACCATCTGACTTTTGGTTTACTGGTGGCGTAATCGCGCGAATGCGCAGTGACGTCTCGGCGGGGGTGACACTTGGTTACCGCTCCAGGTGTCACCCAGCCTGGTGGGGACGCCCCTGTGTTGGGTTATGTTTAAGTTCTACTGTGTGACCTGGTTGTGAAAAGACTGTCAACACCCCACCCCCCTCGTTATCTCCCTTTGTACTCTGAAGGAGCTCAGGACAATGACATTCTGGCCAGGCTCCTGCTATGGCTGCCTGGAGATCTTTAGCAGGTGGACCCCTGCTGGGTTGTGCAGTCCGAATGTACATACTCATCCTGGCTACTGGGGTCCGTCACAATCACGTGTCGTCATTCTGCATTGAAGTCAATGGGGAAGGTGAGTTGGGGTACGATGGGTTTGGTGGTAAAGGACGACTGTACAATTGGCCTTTAAACAGTTCCATCCATTGCCCGGGTGCTGCCCACCTAAAGGAATAGCTACCCCCTTCATCCAGAAAACTTCCCTGTGTGCCCCTGCTTGGCACCGCACCTTTCCTGCACAAGCCACCCAGCTGGGTGTTCCTCTCAGTGCACATGTGTACCACGGTCCCACTCATTCCATTGGGTAAGCCAATCCTCTGCTGGACCGCTGAAGGCCGCCATATGTTCGGCTTACCTATAGGAATGAATGGGGCTAATGTGATGGAATGTGATGTAATACTGAATTATGGCCACTAGATGGAGCCGAAAGGAAGAGAGACAGCAGACTTGTGGAAATATTAAAGGACAAGTTCACTCAAGGTGTACTTGTCCTTTAAGGTTGCAACGGCCTTTAAAACTGGATTTACACCTTTGCGTTTTTATGCATGATGCTTTTTATATAAAAAATCAATGCGTATGATGGGGGTAGGCAACCTCGGCACCCTCTTGCCTGCAGCAGACTGATCACTGGGGGGAGGGGAGACTGAGGAAATGCTTTCTCCTGCCTGCAGCAGGCTGATGACATCGTCTCAGCCCAGGCAAAGTCACCGACTGGAGCTCGCGGACGGCATTTCATTGAGCGTTTCTGACCAATGATCCTGTCGCTGTAAATTGTGACGTGTCCGGGGGTTTCATTCACGCAGACTTGGAAAGATAATAGAAACAAAGCTGAATTTCTGCAAAAGATTCCCCCCAAATCTAACAAGCCGCAAACATCAACTTCCCCACAAGGTGGCAGCAGCGCCGCAGCCCATCTCCCCCTACAGCCCGTCATGCTAAGTCCATGTCACTTGGCTATTAATAATAAGCGGCTGCTGAGTCTCCTTCCCAAAGGTCATCCTGCGATTCAGATTAATTCCCTGCGCGGTTCCCATCACACGCTCTACCCAAATTAGGTCAAAAGATATAAAACGCGCATGACAAACACGTCTGATGAGGAGCCGGGCGCGCGGTGACATACATTGCATGGCACGTTTGTAGTCGAGTCGGAAAGGGTTAGGACTTCTAATGATGTTTTTATTGCAATACATGCCCTCCTCTCCCGGTGACAACGGCACCTCCCCATTTCCTGTCCTGGTGTCACAGGTACAGGAAGTGAGGGGAAAATTTACACAATGGGGTCACACACAAAAAAACCCCCAAAAGTTTAAACTCTTCCACAATCTGAACTTCCGGAGCGCAGACTTGTCCCTGTACAAGGGCCGCCATTGCTGAAGGTTTCAGTGCAGGTCATTGATCTGAAACAAGCCTGCTTCAAGCGACCGTCTTTGTTTTGCATTTTGGATGGAGTAGAGAAGGATTCAAAGCTGTCGGTTTATTTTTGGCCATTGGGGAGATTTGACTTGACTTCCTGTCACGGAGAAACAACAGGAAGTGAGAGGAAATCTCTCCAAAGTGAGGGGGGGGGGTTTGTTCAGCGATGGGCAGGGACAGGTCATTATTAGTCGCCCCAGGTACAGAGGTATGGTAGCTGTGTGACGGTTAGATGGTGCTGGTTGGGGCTTGCACTGCCCCTTTAAGAAAAAAACCCGCCACTGCCAAGTATTCTGGGTAGGCAGGACAGAGCCACGATGACACCGCATTCCGTTGTCATCGTGGCATTTCCCGTAATTGTCGGTCCAGTATTGTGGTCAGTCATTGTCAGCATACAAGTCCTAATGAGGGGGGATTTGTGAACCCTGAAACGCATTGGCTATAACGTCTCTACTAGTGTTGCCAACGTATACAGGTGGCAGATACAGATTACACAGGTTCTTTATCAATGGACCTCGGGCAAGTTACCTGTCGTTGGATGTTTGCTGAACCCAGCTAGAAATTTGGGTTCACCAAAGGTCTAAATAAACCAAACCCAGGGACACCTGTGTCCTAGCAACCAATGACAATGTGTGGCTCAGCCGCTACCATCCTCGAGTGACACTGTGCGGA